AAAAAAAAATAGCAAATTTTCTGGCTCTGAGTGGTTTTAGGCAGACATTTTTTAATTGGTGCAAAATAATGCCTGTTTTCATAATGTACCCAAAGGAATTTATTTCACCGGCGATGACTTAAGAGGAAGGCCATGACGGGCAGAATGCCTTTTGTAATTAAAGCTGCCCTTTATTAACTCAGCTCTGGGCAGGCAGGAATCCAACAGAGGAAGTTTCTTTCCGCAGTGCGTCTCCAAGCTGGAGGGAGACTGAACCTGTTGAATTTCTGCCTGCTCGTAGAAGCCCTACTGGGTACCAAAATGTGGGTAACCATCTTTCCTTCCTGCATTATGACAGTTTTCTTTTCCTCCCTCAATGCCAGCGAGATAGAATTAAAACTCAAAGGTCTACTCGACTGCAAGAACTCCTGGAGGAAGCTGGATGATGTCCGAAGGGCTTTTTGGTTTTACCGATCTGCAACCGCCGGCAAGTATACGAGTCTGAATATTGTTACAGAGTTTCGAATTTTTGATTAAATTCCTCCAACTGCACAGCAGAAGTGTAGGGATCACAGAACAGACTAGCTTCAGATTTCCCAGACTAGAAATGCTATTTTTTTAAAAAAAGCAATCAAACAGGGAAAGCCAAGATTCTCAGGAATCTGAAGTCTGCACACATTAGTGTACTGTAACAGAGACTAAACGACTAAACGAAACGAAACGAAACAGAGACCTTTGTGTAGTGTGAGTGGCATATAAGTTAAATTTTAAAAATAATGTTGTTTAGTTGATAAGTCGTGTCCAGCTCTTCGGGACCCCATGGACCAGAGAGCACGCCAGTCCCTCCTGTCTTCCGCTGCCTCCCGGAGTTTGGTCAAAGTCATGGTGGTCGCTTCGGTGACCCTGTCCATCCATCTCGCCCTCTGCCGTCCCCTTCTCCTCTTGCCTTCACACTTTCCTAACATCAGGGTCTTTTCCAGGGAGTCTTCTCTTCTCATGAGATGGCCAAAGGATTGGGGCCTCAGCTTCAGGATCTGTCCTTCCAGTGAGCACTTGGGGTTGATTCCCTTCAGAACGGATAGGTTTGTTCTCCTTGCAGTCCAGGGGACTCTCAAGAGTCTCCTCCAGCACCACAATTCAAAAGCACCAATTCTTCGGCGGTCAGCCCTCTTTAGGGTCCATCTCTCACTTCCATACATCACTATAATGATGTATATAAATAAATACTTTTAATTATAATAAATAAAAGAAATACATTTCTCCCAATAGCCCCTCAGAATTGTCCCAAACATCCAGACCAACCATTATATCCAATTCAGAGGTAGGGAAAGCTATGCTGGGAGATACCATTTTGTATAAGTCTGATTACTTCAGCACAACACGTAAGAACATTTTCCCCCTGTTGCACCCATGGGGGAAAACCTGAGCCATCCCACCCTTCTTGAAAACCACTTTTGTCATCCCCCCTCCACCTCCAGAATATGTCAGCAAACACTGGGCTGAAGACTCCTTTTTCGGCTACCAGTATCTCAACGGCGTGAACCCGGTGGTCATCCAGCGCTGCACAGAGCTTCCGGCCAAATTCCCAGTCACGCAAGAGATGGTGGCCAAATCTCTGCAGAAGGACACAACTCTGGAACAAGAGCTGAAGGTAAAACTCTGTGTGTGCGTGCACGTGTGTTGTGTGTGTGTTTGTGTGTGTGTGTGTGTATACATGTATGCACACATCGCCCCCCCCGTAGGCCCTCTAGCTGCAGACTCAGAAAGTACAAGCTGAGCCTGTTGTTATGATGGAGAGTGCATCTACACTCCGTGCGCAATTGCATCCCTCTGACTCAACATTAGAACAGCACTGGCTCCACGTTATGGAATCCTGGCATCTGTCGTTTGGTGTGATAATGAGAATTCTCTGTGAAAGAGCTCCATCGTCCTCTTTTTGCAATAGGGAGGTCCGAAACCCATCAAACTACACGTCCAAGCCAAGCTATAACTTGACCAAAGCAACTGGGACTTTGACACTCCCCCCTCCCTGCCCGGTGCCAGAATTGAGAGAGCCCCAGAATTTACAGGCGAATTTGCAGGAAAAATAAAATTTATTTCATTATTTTTTTAATTTATACCCCGCCCATCTAGACCGAAGTCCACTCTAGCAACCTCACCCACCCCTGTTAACTTTTATTTCTTGAAAATATCATTTCCCCCTATCTTAAAAAGAAGCCAAGGAAGCTCACTTGTCAATAAAAGGCAGTATTTTGAAAAAGCTGAAAACAGGAGGTATACAAATATTTTAAAAGAATTGAACAAATCTTAATATTAAAAAGGGTTAATGAAATCAATACTAAAAACTCATTTAAAAGCGACACACACCACAGTCCATTTTGAAAAACCTTCACAGGCAGCCTGCAGAGAAAGGTCTTTGCCTGCTTGCAGAAGGGCAGAAAAGATGGGGCAAGCCTGACCTCCAGTGGCAAGGAGTTCCAGAGTCTAGGAGCAGTTGAAACTTCCAATTTCTTTGAGGCAGCTCCACATTCTATCGTTTTTCGTGACGTAGGTTCACACCCGTGTGTCAGGGCAGAGTGGATATAAAAATCCAGCCCTCCTCAAGCCCTCAATGTGACACACAGACCCAAAGCAGCCTTCTGAGACGCCCACGGTGAATGAACCTGAACTTGTAGATAATCCTAATTTTGGACCCAAAATGTGAATTTGGGGACGTCTTGAAGTTTTAAAGTAACCAATAAGAACTGTAACCCTATCAGCACCCTCTAAACATGTTAGACTACAATGCCCATCATTCCCAGACAGCATCTATAAGCTTAGAAGGCACCAGACTGAGGTTCCTGATAGATATTGCCTTTCACAGGGGAGAGAGAGTGTGTGTGATATAGCTGTTGTGTCTTTCATCTTGTTTCCTCTCGATGTGTCCTGCCATGTTAACACACCCCATTCTTGTGTTGTGACTTAACAGAAAGGAACCATCTTCGTTATAGATTGCCAGATTTTGGAGGGTGCCCCAGGTACGGTTCTGAATGGATCCCTCCAGTATGTCTCTGCCCCGCTCTGCCTCCTGCATCTTAATCCCCAGGGGGAGATGATCCCCATTGCCATCCAGGTAAAGCCTTTCTTTCACAATTGGACTCAAAATGATCATTTATCTTCCTTCTTTCTCCAGAAAATATTTTCCTGGAGACTTTTAGTGCCTTGCTGGACCCTCAGTCAACTTCTATCCAAAGTGCCATCAGGGTGATTTAACAGCATCACAGTCTTCTGAAAGGCTCACCTTACATGCTTGCAAATGGAGTAATCGGGGTAGCAAATTGTACTAGAGGAAGCCTATTGATTGTTGTGGGTTTTTCGGGCTCTTAGGCCGTGTTCTGAAGGTTGTTCTTCCTAACGTCTCACCACTCTCTGTGGCAGGCATCTTCAGAGGACAGCACTCTGTGCTCTGGTGTAGTTGGCTTGGGAGTTGACTATTTATAGCTGTTGGATCAGCTTTTGTCCTTTTTGGGAGATGGGTGATTATGGTGATCAGTGTGTTTTTGTTGTGGGTGCATTGTAAATTTATTTATTTTATAAATGAAATAAAAAGCCTATTGAATCAGTGGATTTTGGCAATATGCTGCATCCTCTATACCTCCTCCATTGATTCAAAAGCACCAATGCAAAATGTGCCTTACTATGGTAAAGTAAGTAGCCATTAGAGTAGGCCCATTTGAATCAATAGAATTGACAGAGGTGTCTATTTATTTAAATTAATTGATTTTTTTAAAAAAATCTGCCTTTCTCCTTAAAAAGGATCCTAGGCAGCTTACATGATTAAAAGACAATATTTAAAGCTAAAAACAGTAAGTGTATGAATGTTAGAAAGGGTCAAAGACATACTGCACGAAGAAACGTTAAACAAAAGCAATATCAGAAACCCATTCAAAGCATTCAAACCATGCATTTAAAACAACTCCCCCAGAAAAAGCAATATCAGAAACCCATTCAAAGCAGTAAAGCACAACCATGCATTTAAAACAACTCCCGCAGACAGCCAGTCACAAAGGGAAAGCATGCCTGAAGAGCAAGGTCTTTGCCTGCCTGCGGAAAGACAGCAAAGATGGGGCCAGGCTGGCCTCCAGTGGGAGGGAGTTCCAAAGTCTGGGAACAGCCACAGACTCTCACCAAATCCCTACTGATTCAATGGGCTTACCATAGAGCAATTTACTGCACTAAGCAACAGGATGTTGTCTATCATGATGGTTCTTATGTAAAGAAATGGGATAATCATGTGGTTAATTACTTGAGATGGAATGATATGGGTTTCAGTGAGCTTCAGCAGGCTTTCCCTGAGAGACACCCTGTTCGCTTTGGTATTTCCTCAGGAAGGACTAGTAACTTGCCCTTCCAAACAACAGAGTCATATGCCCCCCCTCTCTTTCCAGCTGACGCAGCAACCTGGACCGGAGAGCCCCATTTTCTTACCCACCGATTCTGAGTGGGACTGGGCGCTGGCGAAATTCTGGGTGCGGAACAGCACCTTTTACATCCACGAGGTCCTCACTCATCTGCTTTATACTCACCTGGTGGTGGAAGTCTTCCTGCTGGCGACCCTCCACCAGCTGCCCACATGTCACCCCGTCCACAAGGTAGGTGTGTCTGGAACGTAGGGAGGGAGGGGAGTACCACAGGGAGAGTTAGCAAGGTGTTCAGACAGGTACACCAGAGGGCTGAGCGTTGGCCATGTGGGTCGTAAAAGTAGAAGGAAGATGGAATATTGTGGCTTGCAGTCTCTGAATAACCACCCCTAGATTTGAGGGAGAAAGCCTCCAGAGGGGACCACGGATTTTGGCAACCTCGTATGCTGCCTAGAGAAAGTGTTACTGGGAGGAAGCTTTCTGAGCTGGGGGGGGGTCTGTCCGTCTATCCATTCAAATTAACCCATCCTTCCCTCCTGCCCCTGATTTCAAAGAGAGCCCTGCCCCTCCATTCTGTATTTCTCTCCCCCACCCTTTTCTTGATTCTGTTGAAGTCCGTTGTTGAAAAGAGTCATGTTGGTCCATTTGCAGTTTGATCTGTTCAGTTGTAAGTAATGAAGACTCCCCCCCTCTTTCTCCTGCTAATGTCTCAAAGTTGAGACTGTAAGTGCCAGTTAATGAGGAAAGGGGTGGTCACCTAAATGGGTACTGGGAGCTATTCTATTTTGCGAATTCCTGCGCTTTTGCTGTACAGCTAAAGGAATTTAACTGTGTTACTGCACCTATTCTAACAGCGGTGTGCGTGCATACGTGTATGCACGCACACCTCAAGTCAAGACCCCACTGTAGGTGTGTCTGGAACGTAGGAAGGGAGGGAGGGGAGTTCCACAGGGAGAGTGAGCAAGGTGTTCAGACAGGTACACTAGAGGGCTGAGCATTGGCCATGCAGATCGTAAAAGAAGAAGGAAGATGGAATATTGTGGTGTGCAGTCTTTGAATAACACTCCTAGATTTGAGGGGGAAAGCCTCCAGAGGAGACCGCGGATGTCCGACATCTGTTGGGGGTTTTGCAACAGGCCTGCCTCTCTGTTCTGTATTTCTCTCTCCCCCCCCTTTTCTTGATTCTGTTGAAGTCCGTTGTTGAAAAGAGTCATGTTTGTCCATTTGCAGTTTGATCTGTTCAGTTGTAAGTAATGAAGACTTTCCCCCCCTTTCTCCTGCTAATGTCTCAAAGTTGAGACTGTAAGTGCCAGTTAATGAGGAAAGGGGTGGTCTCCTAAATGGGTACTGGGAGCTATTCTATTTTGCGAATTCCTGCACTTTTGCTGTGCAGCTAAAGGAATTTAACCGTGTTGCTGCACCTATTCTAACAGCGGTGTGCGTGCGTACGTGTATGCGTACAGAAGGGGTATGATAGACACCGCTGTTAGAATAGGTGCAGTAACAGAAGGGGTATGATGGAGAGAAATAAACCTTCCAGCCTAAGAGGTGGTCTGGAGTTTGAGCCAGGAGTGAAGCAGAGTTAGGAGACTTTTTTTGGGGGGGGGGACTATAATTCCCGGAATTCACTCATCAACTGGCTCAGGGATTCTGGGAGTCATAAGTCTCCAAATGTCATTTCCCCCCATTTTCTTTTGGTTAAAATGTAAATGTTTTCTTCCTTCTCTGACATCACATCCTTCTTTTCTCTCTCTCTCTCTCTCTCTCTCTCTCCTACCAACGCACAGCTCTTAATCCCGCACTTCCGCCACACGCTCCACATCAATGTTCTCGGCCGAGTGAACCTCTTTGCCCCCGGTGGGCTTATAGAGCAGGTGAGTCCTCTCGGTCTTTCATCTGTTTCTCGCAACGAGGCCCTCCCCAGAGACACGGCTGCCTGAGGCCAAGCACCAAGGGGTGACCCGCGCGCACAACCCAGGTTAACGTGAAGATGATGATCAAAGTTGGTTGAAACAGATGCAACGAGGCCCTCCCAAGAGACATGGCTGCCTGAGGCCAAGGGGTGACCCGCACGCACAACCCAGGTTAATGTGAAGATAATGATCAAAGTTGGCTGAAACAGACTGCCACATTAGGCAGAAAGTCCCCCAAACCCCGTCCACTTGTACGCCTGATAGCGACGTAACAAATGAAATCACCAGACAATGTGTACCCGTTTGTGAGATCCGAAAATGGCTGCTTGAGGCAGCCGCCTCACTACACCTCATGATAAGTCCCAGTTGTAAGTCCCAGTTCCATAGATCGACCCTTCCAACCAAAAGCGGTGCCATCCCTAGGAAGAAGCCTCTTACACTGTAATAGCCGAGCTTACAAATACTATTTGTGTGGACTCCATCTTCCATGATCCCCTAGTCAGCACACCAAACTGGCTGGGGATGATTGGACTTGGAGTTCAGGCTTGATTTGACGCAGGACCCACTTGCTCATCTTTCTTGAGTTCAGGGTATCCACAAAGCTCTCCTCCCGGCACCACATTTCAACGAATGATTTTTTAAAAAACTATCCACTTTATTGCCACTAATTGAGGAGTTGCTGAAAGCCTGCCCTCACAGGCCAGGTCATGTGCCCGACGGCGCAAGAAAGATCCGAAGGAAGAAAATTAAGATCAGAGTGGGGAATGTCATTATTTGAGGAACCTTCCAAAATGTAGCAGAAGGGAAAAGCATTCGGGGAAATCTGAACGGTTGTCGAGCGGGCGAGCCGGAAGTGCAAGTCAAGCAGGAAATGAGGTTGAGCCAGAACTATGCAGAAATCGTGTGCCTCGTTTCCGTAAACACGGGTCTCAAAGAGAGAACTATATTGTAAATTGCTAAATTATCTGTGGGAAGGTGTGTGGCGACACGGCCTGTGCCTCTTCGTTTGAAGAACCCGGGTGTGAGATCTGACCCACAGCTGCCACAGCTGTAACGTGAATACAGTAGCGCAGCCTGCCTCTTTCTTGACTTACATCTCAGAAATGATGGGTTTCTGGCCCCATCCATCCTCCCGTGAAATTTTGGACTCTACCTCTAAGAGGAACTTCCTGTTCTGAGGAAAGGGCAAAAGTCATCTTACCAGGAACTTTTGGACTTTTAAACTCTTCACACTGTTACAAGCCTGACGAAGTGGTTCTGATCCACGAAAGCTTGCATAATGTATGATTTTTTTAAAGTGGTCTATAAGTGGTTCTGATCCACGAAAGCTTGCATATCGTACGATGATTTTTTTTATTTTTAGTGGTCTGTAAGTTTCCCCTTGACAATTTAGTCCAGTCATGTCCGTCTCTAGGGCGCGGTGCTCATCCCCATCTCCAAGCCGTAGAGCCAGCGTTTTGTCCGTAGACAAACTTCCGTGGCCACGTGTCCAGCACGACTAGACACGGAACACTGTGATCTTCCCACTGAGGTGGTCCCTATTTATTGGCTTGCATTTTTACATGCTTTCGAACTGCTAGGTTGGCAGGAGAATGGTCTATAAAGCATTTTTACATGCTTTCGAACGGCTAGTTTGGCAGGAGAATGGTCTATAAAGGTACCGCCTCCTCTGGCATTTGAAGAGGCATTTTGTATTTTATTTTGTATTGACCACACCGCTCCTTTTTATTTCTATAAAGGTTTAGGATACTTTTGATCACAAGTTCCCTGTTGTTCTGTTACAGCTGTAGTGTGAAATAAATTAGAAAGAATGAATGCTTTCGAACGGCTAGTTTGGCAGGAGAATGGTCTATAAAGGTACCGCCTCCTCTGGCATTTGAAGAGGCATTTTGTATTTTATTTTGTATTGACCACACCGCTCCTTTTTATTTCTATAAAGGTTTAGGATACTTTTGATCACAAGTTCCCTGTTGTTCTGTTACAGCTGTAGTGTGAAATAAATTAGAAAGAATGAGGAAAAGGCTGTGTTTTCAGGGTTATCTGGCGATACCTTTTTTGAGCCATTAAAAGGACCAAACAAGTTGCCAGCTTTTGTAAAGAAAATCCCACCTCCTCAGAATAGAATAAACAAGGCTATTTTATTTCAAAGACTGCCTGAAAGGTTTTTTTCCACAATCTCCCTCCACCATCCCCACCTGCAAATTTCTCAATTGGCTGCCGTTAGCTGTGGCAAGTAATTCAAACATCTGGAGCATATTTGACGTAACTGGAAAAATTACCGGCTGAGGAAGGGAATCTGGAAGATATCCTTCAATTGCCCCTCCTCCCTCCCACCCCAAATTCTGGGAATCAACATTCCCATTTGCTAGGAGATTCCAGGGAGGAGGAGAAAGGGTTTTCCTTGAATGTTCGGGAGTGTTCAGGCCATTAAAAACAATGTCATTGTATACAGATGTGTTCCACAGGGAAGGGAAAGGACCGCTGCTCCCACACTGGCGTGCCGTTTGCCCAAAACTGTTCCTATTCCCTTGGGGGGAAAAAAGATCCAGGTAGCACGTGCTGGAGAGAACGGAGAATCTTTTCTAGATTGTAAATGCTTTAAAAGATCTGTATGTTATAGTTCTAAGATTGTAATGATATGCTTCAAATATCTGTGGAGTTTTAAATATTTTCTTGTAAGCTGCCTCGGGCCCCTTCGAGGGGAGGGAAACATGATTAATTGATTAATTAATGAAGTTGGTGGTCAGGTGAGGCGATATAGAAATGGATGGACAAGCAGCCTCAGGGGTTAGAAAGTT